AACTTTAAACAAAATGAAGCCAAATAACAAAGTTTCAAGAAATGGCAAGCGAATCCAAATATATTCTGTTTTTACGTCTAGAATGAAGTGAGAAAACAGTGTGTTAAGTCAGATTGGTTAAGACACAGGATCTGTTCATATCTGCCAGTGTGTACTGAAGTACATGTACTGAACTCCAGTATTTTTCTTGGAACAGAAAACAGAAGTTTCTCAATTTTATCTTTTTTGTGAAAGCCCTTCAACATTGTTTGAGGAGCACTTGTTTCGCATGATTTCGTATGATGACAGAATTTTCTTTTCTCTTTGTTGACTGTCAGCTGTCTATTTTTTCCAAGGCTCTGGAAAATCAGAACAGGGCATCCCGCCGTTAAAGTCTGTTATTAATCTCAGTCCTCCTGGCACTCCTTAGCCTCTCATTCCAATATGTGCCAGTCACACCAAGAGCTGCATGAAGTCTTTTCAGTGTGGAAGACCTTTTAAATAAGCCTGAAGAATGAGTCTGATTCCACATTGTACTGCAGCAGATATGGACAGAGGTGGCAGTGGATTGATCACCCTCTTCTCAAAATCAGTGCTAAGAATTTTTAAAGTCACTTCTTTCACCTGGGCAGGACGCCAGTTCATCACAGGGCAGGCACACAGACACAAACATGCACACTCACACCTAGGGACTGTGGGAGAAAACTGGAGGAAACAAACTCCAAGGAAGTAGCATGCCAGATCAGGAATTGAACTCAGGGCCACAGCACTGTGAAATTGCAATGCTACCCACTGCACCACTGTTCCTTGAATGTTTAACTTAAAAGCTTTTGAAGAGTTTGTTTTCGTCTTGGCAGTAACTTCAAATTATACCTTTGTATGTAATAGCACCCATTGCAAAGAATTCTGAAATGGTGTTCACCATACTAAGGTTACTGTAGGGTCAGTTGGTTGTGTTTTGGGTCATTTTTCAAGCCTGCTGTGAAGAGGTATTCCACTGAAGTATTTTGTATCCAGTCAGCAGGAAAAGGTTGATATACAATAACTAGACTTAAATGGGTGGTTCAATAAATTATCTCACATCCCTGCCTGTCTGTTCCATGTATCATTGACATCCTGGAGTGTTCTATGCAAAACGTTTCACATGAATGTCTAAGTACAGAAAGTATTGTCAGCAGAAATAACAATCCCTATTGATTGCTGTTGCAAATTTGGCTGATTCATCATTAGTGATCTGTTTGATTCCTTTAGTATAACTAGGAAAAGATCTCACCAAAGACTCCATGTTCCTTCATCAATATTGAATATATTCCATAAACCATTGAAATATTACCATTGAAATATAATTGACTTAATATAACTTGAAACAACTAATTCTTCTGCTGTTCTTTTAAAGGCAGATTATTAAAACTGATTTCGGTAAAGTTTTAGTAGCTTCTTAGGAATAATTTAAAAATGTGTCTGCTCTCACTATTGAACATTTTTTTAGCATTTTTTTACATTGTCGCTTAAATTGGACCAGTCTTCTTTTTCTGCACAGTTAAAAAATTCTCTTTCACAGTAATTTGGGTTTTGGTTGCTGGTTGCATGCTGTGCTCTTAATTAACCGACAGTTATTTCCCTCTGTGATGCTGGAGTCAGACTGCCCTCCTTCCAGTTAACAAATATTAGCTATTCAGCTTTAGTCTGAAAATTATATTTCTGTACAATCAAGGACACTTATAAAATAGGTCTATAGTTTTTCAATTTATTTAAATGGAACAAGAGCTGTTCAACACATCCACTTAAATTATTACGTGTCTGTCACTGTCATATTGCTGCACATCACAAAAATGCATTACAGGTTTTAGGTACAGTACATGTTTTATTCACTGTTCGCAAAATGCAGACCCATAAATGTAGATAATGTGATTACAATGAAAGAGAACTCATTAGAGGATTAATAACACAATTTGTAGAGGTTCTCTATGAAACAGGTGATTAAATCCATAATGATAAATGCTACGTCAGAATGCTTTTAGGTTCCAGAAGAAAAATCACGTTCCTTAGGTACTAGCAACCAACAAGCTGGATGGGCCGAATAATGTCTCGTTTCTAACCTTTCTTGTGTTCTTATAATGAAACGTATATCGTAGCCAGAGGATACAGGTATGTTGTCTTTGCTCTGTCTGCATTAGAAGAAAGAAAACATTGAAACAAAAGCACAGGATCACACAAGCACTAACTGGGTGTCACTCATTGGGACACACAAATGATCATGCACAAGGTGTCACTGTGCCAAATGATCAAAGTGCCCTTGATGTTGACCATTCGCAACCCCCAAGTACTTTCTTTTACTTATTTGTGTTTCTAAATGTGTTATTAATATGCATGCATTCATCTCTGTGCTCTATAGGACATTTAATATTACAGAAATACCAAACTCTGTTAACCTAAATTGCGTCTCAGTCCAATGGAGTAGTTTCTACCTACTAACATAAAATGCTCCCTCAGAATTTAAAGTACATTTATATGGATTAATATGTTTAACGTGAGGTGGGATGAGGAGTTTAAGTAAGTGTCCATATGTCTCAGTGTGTTATTGACCTCAACACAGTTACTTGATGTTAGTGTTATGTTTTGTAGAAAGAGAGTCAGGTCTGGAAATGCATTTTATCTCTTTAGGTTTGAGGCTCAGATTGAGACCTCGTGCTCAAAGTGTTTGGTTTTAGTTTAACCAATCTGAATGTAATACTTTTGATGTAGCGATGTAGGTACAACACTGCTTATCCTCAGCATGGTTTTCAGAGCGATGGAGTGTGATGAGTGGCCATAGCACAGTGGGTCAAGCAGTCTTTGAGTTAGACTCTAGAGGAGAACTCCAGGAGTGTTCATAATAACACTCTGTAAGGAGCCCCTTACTGACCCTGCATATTTTGTTTAAATTTCTAGCACCACATTTTAATGACTGTCACAGGGAACTGAATTTTAAGCTTGAGTAAAAGCTTCAAAAATAATACTGAGATATAAAAAGGACTCAATTTAAAGTGGTACCAGGGGCAGACAGAAAGGAAAAAACAATACTTTGCAAGAGCCATATCACATATCAGTTAAGGTATTGAGAGAATCCCAGGGACATATTTGCTATGAGAAATACAAAGAAGTACTGAAGGTAAAATATCCATATTTTAAAACCAGCATAATTGTTTTGAGCGTTTACTTTGTAATTTTTAAATACAAACCACATTTGAATATTCAAATCTGCTAATTAGCAAGGATAATTACATTTAAGAAGGAAAATGGGGAATTGTGACTCATTAATATTGATGGATAAACCAGGGTGGCTTTAAGGTTGCGATGACAAGGACTTGGCAACTGTAAACCCTCTCTAACTGTGCCCTAAAACACATAATGAGGTTTGTATGAAAAACAGATGTCTCTTACTTTGGTTAGAGAAAAGCATTTATAATTTACAGGGTTGGACTGGAATCAGAAACTCTGATATCTGTCGAGGCTATAAATAAATACATACATCTTCATATTTAATTTATCATTTTTATTGGCTTTCTGTTGCTCAGATCTGAAATGCATCTTAATAGGCCAGTTGAAAAGTGGACAAGTTATCTTCCTCTCGTTATGGACATCAGCAGGTAACTGACCTTGTCACTATACTGGGGCATTAGGACCCATACAGACCACAGGGTGAGCGCCCCCTACTGGCCCCACTAACACCACATCCAGCAGCAACCTTAGTTTTTCCCAGGGGGTCTCCCATCCAGGTACTAACCAGGCTCACACCTGCTTAGTTTCAGTGGGTTGCCAGTTAGGAGTTGCAGGGTGATATAGTTGCTGGCATTGAAGTGGTGGACAAGAAGTGATGACTGCTGTCCATTAACTGATCCCAGCAACCTTGTCAGGAGGGTCCTTCTCTACAGAGCTGGTAGATCCTCTGCAAAAGATGACAGGGAAAATAACTGAAAGCAGTAACTAATGCCAAAGGTAATTCCACCAAGTACTGTCTGAGGGGGGCGAATACTTGCGCCATCGGTCAATGTCACTTTGTATGCCTTCCTTGCTGGTTTTGCTGACCTCCGTCACATATACAGTAACAGTGTTCAGTTTGGTCATTACAGTTGTGAATAAAATGCTCTTTTGAAAAAAATAGTTTTAATCAAAATGTGATCTTATCCGGGAGAAAATACATTTGCGAGGCAGTATTTATGAACTGGAAGGAAGTGCGGATCTCTATGGGGTTGTCAAGAGGAGTTGCTTATGGAAGTAAGGGATGAATGAGATGAATGAGTCCATCACTTTAATCAGGGAAGTAGCTTTCCTCCTGTGAAATCTGATTAGAAAGTATGTGCTGATTTCGACAAACTGGTAAACGTGTGGCAAAACGCAAGATTACAGATAGGAAACAGCAAGCATTTAGTATGTACTCATCTGGTTAATCTGCATGTTTTTACCATGACAGGACTTAAATCTAACTAGCTGGGAAATTCTTTTGAGGTTGGTTTTCTTGGACTTTGTTATGCTTTCTATAGAGTTTTGGATTAAGGGCTGTTATGTGCAAGTGGTGGTAAATGTTTGATAGAGTTGTAGTTCTTTTTTTAAATCTTTTTTATTTTTTGTCATCATATTTAAATAGTTAATATCATAATATTATCTTTCTGAATATGTACTTTATGAATGTAAGAGTGTAAAAGGAGGTACCTCACAATCATGAATTGTATTTTAAATATTTTTTTAAAGCATACAGTAACTCTCGTACAACCATCAGAATAGATGTATGATTCTTTTTGATACTACAAAGCTAGTCTAAGACAATCAAAGACTGTATTATTTAAAAACAAGTGGCAAACACAGTGCATCTTGTTGGTGAATTGCTCTATCACCTATCTACCTTATGTCTTTAAATGTAATTTAAAAAAATTTAAAAAATTGTAATATTTTCATTGAGAGCTGATTATTTTTTAATGAAAGCCTGATATCTTCCCTGTATTGCAATCACCATCTAATTAGTTGCTCTTCCTATATTACAGGAGACAAATGAAATTGTGGCCATTAAAAAGTTCAAGGACAGCGAAGGTAAGAGACTCTTGTTCTCACTAAATTGTTTAAGCAGGCCTTAATTTACTTATGATGATCTGATAATAGTGATTCACTGTTGCAACAGTCTTATTATCATATAATGGTTGATCAGGCTTTGCAAATATATGGTTTGAAGAAAAGACAAAAGGATGTATTATCCGTGTAATAAATACAGTATATACTTTTACTGAGTCAAGCAAAGGTGTTTATTGCTGTGGACAAGAGACTGTTGTTTTATTTGCCTGCTGTATGTTCTGTTTGATTGGGCTGTCAGCTGAGTATTCCGTTTACCTCGGCCATGTGTGCAGCCTTCACTAGATGTCATTCTGATATTGATCGACAGAAAATGAAGAGGTCAAGGAAACAACACTGCGGGAGCTTAAGATGCTCCGGACGCTGAAGCAGGAAAACATTGTGGAGCTGAAGGAAGCGTTTCGGAGACGAGGGAAGCTGTACCTGGTCTTCGAGTATGTGGAAAAGGTAGCTACATCTGTGAACTGGAGTGACAGTGTCAGCCTTTTGGTTTATGGTGTTCATTGACTTTTCTGCGAAAAATCTAATTTGGCAGTCTTCGTAGTTTTTGAAAAATTTTTTTAGATGATTCAGAAAATCACCTATTCTTTTTTTCTTTTACAACCTAATTAGGAATAATCTGTTCTCCATTAACTCCCACACATAGGTTAAACTGATATTGGGGAATTTAAAACAACACTAGGATCCTTCAAGTGTTTGAGCATCACATACTGTACAGACTTGCTGCAGTTTGTTTCTTTGATGCTCTTAATTCAAAATGCAGTACAGGGGGAAATTTAGCAAAGGGTATTAAAAGAGACGATTTTGAAAGTCCAAAGGGGAATTTAGCCAGAGACACTGCTCCTAATGAACAGGGCCATGTGATCTTTTAGGACTCAAGCAGCTAGGACTTCAGTTTAAAATCTTCAGACGATAACGCCTGCTGCAGCATAATGAACCAATCACCACCCTGGGGTGGAAACTACAGTCCACTACTGATTGAAAAATGTGAAAGACATTGCACTAAACATAATCACGAAATTCTAACATGAGGGTAACCCAGTTGTCAGATACTGTACATACTGTACACAAAGCTGTATGAACATCCCAAAATTAATCCCCTTCTCCAAATACTTAGAATGTTTACAATTTAGTATATAATTGGATTCCAAAATGTATGGTCCGAAAATGACCCTATGCTGAAGGTTATAGCAGAGGTTTCACATTTATCTTTCACATGCACTTTTGTAGAACATGCTGGAGTTGCTAGAGGAGATGCCGAATGGAGCCCCACCTGAGAAAGTCCGAAACTACATCTATCAGTTAATCAAAGCTATTCACTGGTGCCACAAGAATGACATTGTCCACAGAGGTAGGTAAAAACATTTAAACTGCGATTGTATCTAGTTTTGTTTTGGAAATATATTTTTTTTAAATAAAAAAAAATTTTAAAAAAAAAAACAAACAAAAAAAAAAGAAACTCCATTAAACAAATAGCTTTAACATTTAGATGTTTCTAAAAAACTGTAACGATGTATATTAATGGCAATTTATAATCCCAGCCGCATACAGATTACATATGAAATGAAATGTAGTGTTATGGTTCAAAAGGGAACAACACCAGCACTATTCCTGCGACTCTCCTCAAACTTTATTTCATTCTCCAATTCCTGATGCTATTGATGATGTCCTTTTCCATCAGCCGTCTCTCATTTGATCCTTTTTACTGTAATGTTTTAGATCTGTAGAAGATCTTAAGAATGAGTATCTAAGACTCATTTATTTCTGGTAGTGCCTAAGGGTCAGCTGTTGGACTGTTCTATAATTCTGCTCCTTATTTTAAATCTTGCACACCAGATATCAAGCCTGAAAATCTCCTGATCAGCAGTGATGATGTTCTAAAGTTGTGCGATTTTGGTAAGTAAATATATCAGCAAGTGAGTTAACAAATAATTTCACCATGGTATTATACAATATTATCAGATAATCAAAATGAATGTTTATATTGTTTATTGAAGTGAAGGCACTGAGCCTTCTATGAAGTATAAAGAAGCGTTTCCACTGAACGTTAACTGTATATGAGAAATAAAAGGTTTGGGAACCTAACTCTGAGGTTACATAAGGAATTGCCAGATTTGTTTTAACAAATATGGATGGTAAATTTGTCTACAGGCTTTACTCTCAATGTTTTACTTTTGCATTCAATCATTCATGCATCAGTAGGCCGATTCTGAAATTATAATATTTAAAAAAACTGCGAACCAGTCCAGTTTATTTGGTTAGTGTTTAATAACAGACCCTGATGTGTATTTTTTTCATCTTGGGCCAAATGTCATACTTTGCTGTCTTAGGTTTTAACCATCCTTCTGAACTGATTGATATTGTTTTGACAGGTCAAGCAAATTATTGGAAACTTGCCTTTGCATACTGCTGCCTATAAACAGACATACAATCTGCAGACATCTGAAAATTAATGCAAATTTGTGTTGCAGTGTTGGTTGCATGATAAAACAAATGGACTACGTGGTTTCATTTGTATTCTAGTGTATATACCTGATTGACTGAAGTACTTTGTATGTGTTCTAATTAGGTAAAGTGGGTGTTTGTTATGTACATGTGCTTTACAGTATGGTGGGTCCTGTTGTTCCAACTGCATATTTTGTAGTACAAATCCATATCAAGCATATCTGTTCTGAAAAGCCATTAAGCTGGTGCAAGGTACAACTGCAAAGGTTTTTGTCCACCTCAGACTGACGCCTCACATGCTGCATGGATAAAATCTTATATATTCAGAATTTATAATTTATAGATTTATAGGTAATACTGTAAGCATTGCATGTATCTTTATTAGCAAGCTAAATATTAATTATGTAGATCGCTTTTAAAGTTTCCCCTTAGCTTGAGTGAAAAGTGTTTGGCAGAACCTGCCTGAGCAAATTAAATTAAATTTCTGCCCTCACAGCCATGATAAGACAGCTAATAGAGGGACATTAGAAGGATTGCTAACAAATGAAGTGTAGTATGAGCGAGTGAGGTTTACCTCTATGATTGGGAGAAAATCTGATTAGAAAGCTGCTGGCCAAAGAAAATATAATGACGGAGGAAGATGAGTAAATCATATTTACCTGGGAATTGGGGAATAAATAGGAAAGTCATGATGTTATGGTTTTTCCTTGTTGTAGTACATTGCAGTTTGCAGCAGCACAGGCTCATTATGGTGCTGTGGTGAATTCCCAGACTGTTCATCTGGGTGTCAGTTCTTATCTGACAGCTGGATAGCGCCGTTGCTACCTCATCTTGTCTGCTAAGCTGAAGGGGGGATAGTAGGGGGACAGGAGGCCAGGTTGCTGCTGCACATGGTTTTGCTGGACCACTATATAAGTGATAAGATAAGATCACTTTATTGGCCATGTACAATATCTTGTATGAGGAGTGTCTTTTTCGCATACCCCAACTTGCTCTCCATGAGACACAGACAGGGAGAGAAGCTCGGGGTCAGAGCGCAGGGTCAGCCGTTAATACAGCGCCCCTGGAGAAGTTGGGGTGAAAGGCCTTGCTCAGGGGCCCAACGGAGTAGGATTCCTCTGCCGGCCACAGGATACGAACCGGCAACCTTCCAGCCACAGGCGCAGATCCTTAGCCACAGAGCCACAGCACTGCCCACTAGGTTGCAGTGTTGGTACTCCCACAAGGGAGACAGAGACCCTGAGTACTTGGTCATCCAAGATCCTGTGACACTGTGTTTAAGAATGGGATTGGTAACCTCAGTCTCAGTATCCAGGCAGAATTACATCTAAAAGTTGATCCATAATTCAGATGCTGAAATGGCTTCTCCCTTTTTTTAGTTTAATTTTTTGTGCAGTAGCCCATTATTGCTGGCATGTATCACACAGATGGGTACACTTCAGTGGAGGATGAAGGAGTATTTTCTCATGTATAAAGTATTTTGGCTCCTTTGGATTGGAAAGCTTTATAGCACTGTACCATATTATTATAATTAATTACACTGTTAATGTTAAATATGTTTGGATTTTTCCACCTCCCAAAGCAAAGTCATAACATCCATTATTCCCAATTCAGAAACCCTTGAGAGCACAGATGGAAGGAATCTGTCACAAACCTGCAGATATACTGTGATTCCTTTTGAGCTTTAAGTTGATGCCAATACCTAATACTGGACTGGAGAGTTTTGTTGTTTTTTTCCCCAGATTTAATGAGTTGTGAAATAGACTAGCAGAAACTTTGTCCAGTGGAAATAATGTTTCCCTACTAATGATTTTTAGTAGCATAGTGGCTTAATAAGAAAATGCAGAACCTTAGTCTCTACCATGCATGGTTTCGCCTTGACCACAAGGTCTCCTTCACTTACTTTCATTCTTTTTCCTCCATGTTAAGCCTACTGTAAGTGTTAGGGTTTGCTGGCTGGACATGAGTCCTGGGACTGCTACGTTGGCTGATTTAACCATATAGGGTTAGTCAAAATGTTGTTGACAAGTATGAATACCAATTATTTCTAATGCACTTATGTTTCTGTGCGGCGATCGTTCCAAACTAAATTTCACAAACATCCACCGACACGAAACTCCATCCTTAAGTGTCACAGGCAGTCTGTGGAGCATGGATGTAATTAATTTGTAATAAACTGTCAAAGTTGGTGACAGCATTTTGAATAACCCTGTATATGAAGAACACATGCTGGTCAGTTCCCATACTCATCACCGAGACTCTCACACTGCAGCCTAGCTACTTTTAAACAAAGGGCAGTGCCACACCAGGTCTCCCATAGTGAGTTTAATGTCACCTTACTTGAAATCGGAGGTCATTAACCCTGGACCTGGAGACCCCCGTCTGTTTTGTAGGTCATCACCATTTTATATAATTTTAAACACTTTAATTGCAGGCAGTTAAGCAGGTCATTTGTTAAGAGATCACATTTGACCAAAATCCAAGTACATTTCAGCCGTCAAGGAATGTTCTTTAAGTTAAACGTACATGTTTCGTACATCAAGCCACGATTTTAGCTGTTTACCATCCTACACTGCACGCTGACAGAAAAATCTTCCCAATCAAAAAAAAAGAGGCAAAGACCATATTCAGTCTCAGTTTAGAATGCATGGAGTGGAACTGGAACTTCAGTATCTGCACATTGTAGCTTATCCTGTATTTGCTTTTTTTCCCCTGTGCCACCTAGTGGGATACTGCAGGAAGACAAGCTAAGCACATTGGAAAAACTGGATCCCCAAGACAGCGCTAATGCTTCTGTTTGTTAGATAAACTGCACATAATTGCCAAATGAGTTTTTATTTTTAATCAAGGTGTTTTTAATCTTCATAAATGTATGTGGAGAGATGTATTCACCCTCCAAACAGCAGTATTGTTTGAGCAAATATTGCAGTGAGCCAACAGCTTTCCCATGTTTGCATGGCTTGGCAAAAAGAATGGCAAACGCTTATATCAGTTGAGCTCTTGAATTTTAGAACTTTGTGAATTTTACATAAATGTAAAATCAGTTTTTAAACAGTATTTGCATACTGGCCCTTCTCTAAACACATGCTTCAGAAACACAAATTTCCTAGGGCAGCAATACCATATTAATGTGTTAAGGTCATGAAAGTATCTCCTTTTTGAGCCATATGGTTTAGGAAGAGAGGAGATGCTGCAGAAAAGGCTGTTCCTTGATGAACTTACCCGACTTGCCTACTTCGTATCTGTAGTCCATATCACTGGGACATTACATGGCCACTAGGAATATTGTCTGAATAATCTGTCCTCCTTTAGTTTTGTGAAACTGGAAAATTCACGTTTTTCAGACTTGCTGTTAACTCCAAATAATTACATCAGGGTAGAGATAATGTAGATTGAGTCAAGGGGATGAAAAAGGTAAAAATCTAACTCCCTACTTTTTGGCTGCGCAGTTCCTCCAGCCATGGGCTATTGAAAAACACAACACCAAAGTCATTTTGGTTGGAATGTGTACCATTAGGGCACATCTGGCTACAATTTCTTCAGTCCTCAAATTGATTTTCTGGTGGGAGTTCCCAAAGCAGCTCTTGGGAGATGTACAATTTTTCAGTGCCTTTTCAGCAAGGGGCTCAAATTCCTCTCATTTTGCAATTAAAAAAAAAACAGATTTGCAAGCGAGAGCAGTGCTCAATCCCAACAAGCATCCAAGCTCCTGCTGCCAGTCACGTCACTGCTTCCTCCTGGCTGCAACATACAGTATGCAATTGTACCTGCTATCAAGAGCTAGGAAGCCTTGTGGGGAAAAAAGAAAAAAAATCACTTCATTT